CATACAGCTGTCGTTTTACTAAATTATATGAAACTTGCAAGTATTTCTAATAAAAAACTTGAAAAGGCAGCTTATTTTTTCTCGTACTGTTTTCAGCTCTTTCATTTGAGTTACAGCATGTTGTGGGAGCCTGAGGAAGGCAACGGAGAAAAGGATCACACTTCCAAAATATCTCAGAGGTTTTTCTATGAACTCTGTTCACGCGACCTGGCAGCATCTCAGATTTAATGTTCTTTTCATCTATCCCTAAAATTAGACAAGCACTGAAGTACTAAATAAATTGCATTTTTCAGGTGTCTGAATTGGCCTAGCACATCAGAATAAGGAAGACAAGTGTCCTCTGGTATTAACTGCAATTAAATGTAAAAGCACTGAAGTTTGTTAAACTTAATGGCACTGAGAACAAGCATCATGTCTTTAACTTTAGGCCTAACAAATCCAACATACCGATCAAGGAATTGGCTGTTGTACACAGATGCTAACTTATTCTGGGCACATTTTATGATGCTTAACTAAAAAAGGACATTTCATCATAGCACTTGTATTTCCAAATAAATGTTTGGCATTGGTAAGTATGGACTGAAAAGGATTTTGCTCAAAACCTTTTAAAGATTTAAAAAATCTTCGTCAGAGAAAAGATATATGGGAATAAAAAAAGTCTCCAAGATGTGTACCATGCACAAAAGGCATGCTATGCTCTTCTTCAAAGGAATTTTTGCATGCATGACTTTTATTGTGTGGTTGTCTAGTATTTATTTTATTACCTCTTTGATTTTTGTATACGGCTTCTACTTGAGCAAAACTGTCAAGTTTGGATGCTTAAAATCAGGTTCCTAAATCAGCAGAGCAGATGCCTATTTAATTGAAAATAATAGTATACATTAATTTTCTAACCTGTATGGATTCTCATAACTAACTTCAAATCAGTCAGACTAGCTATGCAAATCACAGACAGTAATAGTTGTTTACACCTGCTTGTGCGGACAACATGTTGTCAAAGTTGATGTAATTAAAAAGCCCGTGCAATCAATACCAGCATGATGCTTTTGCTCAGGATATTTTTTTTATAAGAAATTAGGATTCTGATTGACCATGTTTGTAAATTGTTTTGGTAATGAAAATAAACTGCTCCAGATTTTCCCTGGGGGGAAAAAGTTATTTCCCAACTTCCTTCTTGGGAATTTGTTAGCTAACATATCTTCCAAATGTATAATTTGATTTTTCTTAACTTGAAACCTTTTATGTAGAAATTTACTTATTAAAATATACAGTTTCTCCAAATCAAAACTTCCTTTACAGTCAAAACCATCTTTCTCCTGTGTTTTAATGAAAGTTTTAAAAATGTTTATACTGTTTGAATCAAAAGTCCCCTGTCTGGCACATCTCTATGGCTGAAAGCAATTTACAGAATATTCTGCCAGAAACTGAGACCAGCCAACCATATTTGCCAGAATCAACGTCTAAGCAGCTTTGCTATTTGCCAAAAAGAGGGGTAGACTGTTCTTAACGGTTGCTGGAGATGCAAATGAAACATAATGAGAAATAAATGGACCACAAATGCACCCAATTTCCCAACTCTGCCGAAAAGGAGAGGGCAGTAAGCAGGCTATGAAAGAAAATTTTCTAGGACTTTATTCCAGCAAGACTGACCCAGCCAGAAGATATAATGCACTGGAGTGCATTATATATTAAAAGCTCCTGTTCTTGTTTATGGGAAGACAGCTCCAGAAACTGCATCCTAAGTAATCCCTGTCAGAAAGCGGCAAACTATATAAAGGGGTAAGGAATAATCTCACTACTGAGCACAAAACAGACTTTCAAACACATTTGGTAGGCCTCATGTTAACATACAGCTGAGTGCCACTCAGCAGTAATGTGAAAAACATCAGGCTGCCATGGGTTGCCAAAACACGATCTGATATTGTGCATTCAGCCCTGAGGCTGTAGATTCACTTCCTTACCTAAATAAAATGGGGACATCTGTTTCTGACAACAGCAGTAAAGAAGTCATTCCATTGATCTTTGCATTGAGAGGAAAAAAAGATCTAGAAGACTAAATATAACACAAATGTTACTACCTTAAGAAGTCCTAAATATGAGAAATGGACACATCCTGGAGGCAATGAATCAAGTTAAGTATCAATTTTGCCCACAACCCTCCCAGAGAAAGCCCAACTTGTTGGGTCAGCTTTGGGAAAGAAAGAATTTAGACAAGCCACATTCCAGTTTATCTCGTCACAGAATCCCAGAATGGTTGAGGTTGTAAAGCACCTCTGAACTCATCTTGTTCAACCCCCTGCTCAAGCAGGGCCACCTAGAGCAGGCTGCCCAGGACCGTGTTCAGAGAGGTTTTGAACATCTCCAAGGATGGAGACTTCATAACCTCCTTGGGCAACCTGTGCCACTGCTTAGTCACCCTCACAGTAAAAAAATGTTTCCTGACGTTCAGATGGAGCCTCCTCTGTTTCCGTTTGTGCCCACTGCCTCTGGTCCTCTCGCAGGGCACCACTGAAAAGAGCCTGGCTCCGTCCTCTTTGCACCCTCCCTTCAGGTATTTACACACAGATAAGATCCCCCTGAGACCGGGCTGAGCAGTCCCAGCTCTCTCAGCCTTTCCTCAGAGGAGAAGTGCCACAGTCCCTTCATCACCTTTGTGGCCCTTTGCTCGACTCTCTCCAGTATGTCCGTATCTGTCTTGTACTGGGGAGCCCAGAACTGGACATAGCACTCCAGGTGTGACCTGCGATGATGACATTCCTGTTCATGACATGACAATGTTACAGTAATGTCCTCTGGTCTGTGAAAATCACTTCTTTTACCTCCCTGTTGAAGGACATATTTTTATGTATGCATTCCATTTCCACCTTGCTTGGGAAGGGCATTAATGAGAAGCACAAAGATGAAGGGGAAATGGATTCTCTTTCATCCGTTACACCGAGTATGACTGATTTTAAAACCATCTTTTTATAAAGTGATTGATGTGTGGCCATGTTTCAACAAAGGTGATTTCCTCAATACTTAACAACATAATCTGTTATAATTACTAGAGTAAAAATGTAAAACAGTTCAGCTTTATAAATAAAACAAAGATGCGAATCTTCTGTGTTTTCAAGACTTCTTTTGCCTCCAGCAAACAGCTGTAAATGAAGGAACTGTAAGATTGGAGAATTCTGATGCAATTATTTTCGGACCTCAGGATGAGCTCTTTGGGGATTTCTTCTCTACGTGGAAAATGAGGTATCATGAAATTCACAGGAAAACAAAAACCAAACATTGTCTTGAGCAATAGAGAACAGATTTAAACAAACCTTTTCCTCTTGGAGCTGCTACAAATTCCGTTTCCCGATAGTAAAGGTCAGTCAAAAACTGAACACAAGGAAATAGATTTTGGTAGCCTAAAACCTTTTCCAGCTATTTAATCATAAAATACTATAATATAAATTATATATCACTGTTCAAAGATTTCTTCTGAAAATTTATGCTCTGCTTAGCTTATCACAATTACCAATCTACTGAAAATTATCATAAGGACTACAAATCTGTTCCAATGAATACTTCTTTGTCCACAATCCTTGAAAAAAATTAATAAAATACCACAGATTTGGGAAATTATTTACCTGAAAAACATGTTAATCGTTAATGGATTCTAACTGAGTATGAATATTATAATGGCAAATTATTCTATGATTCTCTTACAGAACTAGGGAGGAATTATTCTTAAACTTTACTAATGCAAAAACTCCAAGTTCTGGCCTGGACAAAAGCTGCAAATGAAAGCTGGATTTAAACCTTTTTAAACCACATAAAAAGGAACGTTCAATATTGGTATATTTATTTTTCTTCAACTCATGAGGACAAGCAGAGAGATATTAAGTTGTTATTTTAGCTTTAAATTCAATTCAATATGTCTTAAATGGACACAAACCAAAATTATAGCTTCTTGTTGACTAACCACAAAACACAGCTTTGCTTTAGAAAACATTAAAGCATGTGGAACAAGAGTTAAACCCTCTCTTCAGTAACAAAAACTGAAGACAGTTGCGCAAAGTCGTGCATTTCATTAGAAGATTTTAAATATCAAATTGAATATATGATGTGACTATTAATAAAGATTCTGCTGTTTACAGACAAAAATGCTGAGATGTTCAGATTAAATTACTGCACAATATTTAGCTTGGAACACCTGAAGAATGCTGAAATATAGCAATATTGCTATTACAATTCCTATTTATTGAAATCAGTAGGAAGTTACATGAACATACATTCGTGAAAATGGAATGGAGAAAACCACTATGTCTTCACCTTACAAAAAATACATTTTTTTCCATCTACTATGTAACTAGTTTCTAATCAGCAGAAAGACAATGGGAAACATGTATATAAAATAAACAAGAATCCTCCTGCTCCACAGCGTATGAGGTTTATCAAAGTAATGCTCCTAAAATATCTTCGATGGCATGAGAATTTCTTTGGAACACACCCATGATAAGGGCTGACTTTCCTGGATGAGAACAATCTGTTTAAATAATAGTTTCTTGTGGCCAAATGGAAGGTCAGAGCTGTGCAAGAAATAGAACTGTGACTGAAGACTACAGATGCTACAGACACTGGGAAACCTCTGATGTATAAAGGAATTGCAGGGACAACAGATGGACATGTTTGGATCTGCTGAGCATTCGTGCTTCCCACCGAACTGTTTATTAACTGCAGGACTACACCAAAAGTCTAACAAAGCAAATAAACTTACAGGACTTCTCTCCTCTTTCTCGGAGGCAACAGGTCCTTTCACAGTTTCAATTCAGGTAGGATTATGGGATGGAAGCCATAATGGAGATGTTACTCAACAGAAACAGTTCAAATAGCTTATTCCTGCTCTTGCCATTACTGTGTGCTTAGGGAAACATTTCCAAGTGCAAGTGCTTAATGAATGGGAGAAATTATTGCCTCTAACAAGTAATGCAGTGTGACACTAAAATAGCGTAAAAAGTTAAAGAACCCACCGACTCTTTCCTGCTCATAGTTTTGCTTTGGGAACGGGAGCGGGAGATTGTACTGAAAAAGGAATCCTTTTTTGATGCAGACAAAGGTGGAGATCCTGTAAATTCACGTCCTCCAGACAAGCTCTCTATGCTTGGAGATGAACTGATGTTTTTTGAACTTTGGCCTGCAAAGCAAGTATAAATTGACAAAAGGATTAATCAATGGGCAGTTTCTTTTCTTTGTAAATACTTCCTCCTCTTAATTGACATTCACTGAGATTCACCGATAGCTCAACACAGAATGAAATGTTGAAGTGTATCAGCATGCACTGTGAGATTGAAAGACTATTCTGACATACATGGAACTTAAATTTTTGTATGACAGAAAAATACAAAAACTTAGTGTATAGATAGATATAGACACAAACACACACTATCTATCTAGTGTGTGTATATATATATATGCTAAACAATATCTATCTATCTATCTATACCCTATTATTTCCAGACTGAGGACCTTCTCTTCCTTGTGCATCATAATGAGTAAAAGTACCATCTCATAATAAAAAAAAAATCTGATGTCATCAAACACTGCAAAGGAAATCCTTTTTCTCTCAACAAAAAACCTATAAAACTCAGCAAAGAAAGCTAAGAACAAGAACATCAGATTCCAGGAATCGGTTGGACACTGAACATCTAGATGACAATGTCTAGACTTAAAATAGGAAAAGTAAACTAAGTTCGGGAAAGAATGCAAGTCCTCTTGCTTCAAATTTTAAGGCTATCTATCTCCACTGAACAGACATTTTGATGAAGTCTACTCAATAGTTACTTATTGCCATTTCATGCAGCTTTTCAAAGGAATCTAATGTTGTCATAGCAAAGACATCTTGGTAGATGCCTGGGCTGTCTCACCATGACATTGTATGCAGTCAGGCAATCTTTGATAAGGACCATTTCTTCCAGTTGAGGCCCATAAGGTGTTTTGAAATATTTAACTTAAAATTTTACTTTGATTAGCGCCAGATGAAAAAAAAACCAATTACATGTCATTTTTCATTAACTTTCATTAAGAAAATGTTGCATTAGGACAGATGCTAGTTTTAAAAAACCTTTCTATTATGTGTATGAGGAAGTCAATCCAGAGTGACCCAATGCAATTCTAGAATTTTCCATTCTGAAAAAAAGTAAAATAGCATGTAAAACTAAAGCTCTAGAATTCTTCCCTTTTCTTGTTTTGTCAACTATTCTGATGAGTCTGTTTACGTTCTCCATTTTTCCTTTCCTTTGTTTTTGGTGTACTTTTCATGCTACCATCTATAGCATCAAGAATGATCCTCTGAAACAAAATCATTAAGATGTCACAGGTGCAGCTTCATCTCCTTTAGAAGGTTGTGATCGAATTTGAAACCACCTCCCTTGCAGATGACAGTGGTTCATCCTTCTTTGCTCTGAGCTGCTTCCACCCTCTCCGCCAGTTTTGCTCCCAGATATGCCACATATTATTGCACAGACATTACAAGGTATTTAGTATTTTCTCATTGTGGATGCACCACCAATTCTGAAATTAAAGAACTAACTCCTTTTCTGGAATGGGTTAGTCCCCTTCATTATGTGCTGCGGTCTTCCCCCATGATACGGGTTTCTAGAGAAATAGAAGAAAACTAAAAGACAAAGAAATGAAAGAAAATAAGAGGCAGAAAAGGCTGCAGAAAATACAGAGAGACATTCAGATTTAGATATAAAAGGAGACCAGCTCTGTTGAGATCAAACATTTTAAACAAAAGGAAACAACCAGCAAAACCTACTCACAGAGAAGCATCTTAGTTCTATGATTTAAGATCTAGAATGGTAACTGCCCTGGGAGCGGTGTGGAAGTCAGCAGTGCCACGCTTGGCCACCTGCCGGGGGGAGACAAAGCAGGAGCCAAGTTCCCTGCGGTGTTTGACCTGCGCAGCATATATTGCACAGCCACAGCTACACGAAACCAGCAATTCACGTTTTCTTAAGGGAATAAATACAGATCTATTTAAAATGTCCTCTTAGGAAGAACACTGTTAATTGCAAAGAGACTGAACTAGCAAAGAATAAAATATCACATGTGACAAAACAGACCAAAAAGGACAAAACCCAAGAAAGGATCTGAGTTTAATATTCTCAACATTTTCTGGAAGAAAATAGGCATATAAACTGCTTTCCACCTTGTCCTTCATCCTCTGCTGCCTTATTTTGCTCATCTCTCCCATTACCCTCCTATATTTTATGTCCTGCTTCTCATACTCCTGCTGACCTTCCTTTGTCTGGCCTCTCCACATAGCCTCTTCTGTTTCTGCAACTTCCTTATTCCAATTTTTTCCTTTATATATTCTTTCCTTCCCACCAATTTCATTCAACTGCATTTTTCTGTCTTTCCCAGCCCTCCTCCAGTCACTTACTACCTACCACTTAGTCTGAACAGCTTCCTTAAAGTGCAGGAGATGGAGGCTGCAGATCTCACTTAACTTTTGCTTTCGCATTTTATAGAAAAATGGGATATGCATTCATTGGGTGAACATGAATCTCCAATTCTGTAAATAATTCTAGAGGTGGAAGAGGAAAAAACACTGCACAGAAAACAGCAGAAATAATTCAGTCACAAGGAACTTTTAAAAAGATTTCTAATTTTAGGATAAAATCATGTCACTTGGCAACACCATTATCCTTACAGTTGCCTTTATGTAAGAAGATGACTTTTTATGCATTTCACAGTGGCAATTTACAATGGAAGTGCGGTTTTACAGTAGGTAAAACTTAAAAATAGTTTTGGAACAGATGAAATTACATATTTTAGCAAATAAAAGAAATTCACACAGCTAAACCAGAGCAGCCAATATAAATGGCAAACATAAAAAAATCTATTTGGTAGTCAGAGTAAAGTACAATGAAAAAATATTTTATTATGTATAAATCAGACTAAATGGGTTCTCTTTCCCATCCTAGTAATAAGAAGATATCTTCCACATAGGATTAAGATTAAAAAAAACAAAAACCAAAAAGTTAAACAAGGAGCAATGAATGTTTTTCACATACTCCTCCACTGCATGACCTGCGCTTAACCCACTTCACCTGCAAATAAGCAGATTATGTGGTAAAATTTCATAGATAACAATGAGAGAGGGATACCTTAAATATATTTGAGGAACCCATGCACATGAAATAATACAGATTGGTAAAATGAAGGAAAAATGGCTTGTAGAGGATTTTTTTTTTTATATTCTGACTTTCAGCTCTAAGGAAAAAAAGTCCAAAATATAATAGGAAATTGAAAAGACAGCGAACGATCCTTATGGCCACTGCTTTGCTTACTAAAGAGCTACACTTCAAAAGATGGATCACAGTTCAGAGGAATGGAATATGCAACTTCATGCATAACCACACAAGAGAAGAAATATGTATAGCTGGGATTTTGCCGACAGAACAATACAACTGTCCTAAAATAGAATTTGCTCAAATAACATCAATAGCTTTGAACCAGACTAACCTGGTTCTTATGGACTATAAAGTATAATGAAGATGAAAAATAAAAGCAAAACAAGATGTAATGAAACTAAGATAGAGATGCAGTAAACCAGAAGTGGTAAGAATGCTATTTCTGTATGTTTTATATCCAGGTAAGAAAAAAGCTTAGGATGCACCTAATCCTTCTGCATGAATAAGCAAATCTGAGAAATCAGCAGGAAACACTAAATTTTTATTCTGACTCCAACACTGTGAACAGCACTGTGACATGGATTATTTGGGGATGCGATTAAAAATTAAGCAAGACAGAAAGAACAGCACCTATGAATAATTACAATGTGTTGCAAGTCATAAAGCAGAGTTCTTGGATGGTAATATGCTTTTCTGATTTCCAGAGGAGTCATCATTTTTACAACTGCAAATAAGAAAGCTGAAAGACAAGTCACACCAATCATACATGTTTGCCCTACTGTAACAAAAAAGCCACCTATCATTTTGCCAACACAGAACTGCTGGAAGAGCAGTTGACTGAAGTCACCATGATGCTTTTGATGTCTTTCATGTGTGTGCATGATATGTGTGCACCAATTTCTGAGCCATTAACAACCCTCATGAAACTTTGGAAATAACACTGCAGCACCAGTGCAGAGATTTCAGGATCTTGGGAGGATTACACAAAATGCCGTTTCTGTCTTCTCTGTTGTGTGTCTTACTGATTCCGCATCTCTTTTAATAAGCAGTGTGGTACATTCTCCTTACTCAATAGCTTAATGAGAAGGTCATTCGAGACAGCTTCTAATTTTGGATTATTCCTCAGAAAAAAAAAGCAAAAAAAAAAAACCCAACAGAATTCTTATCCTCCATGTATAAAGTGATGCAATAAAGTACAGTTAATAAATAACCAAACTCATCTTCTTCTTTAGCAGCTTAATCAGCAACCTGAGAACATCACTAAATCAAAACTCTTATTTTCCTCTGCTTATTCTATCAATCTCAGATAAATACATTATGCCTCCTTAAAAGGAGATTACAGAAATCTAATCTCTGACCATCTAAGCATACACCAGAAGGTCCTAAAGTCTATATAAACAGGCTGAAGAAACTCCAAGCATGGAAATCAAATAAATGCTTACGAGGGACACAGAACAAATAGCTGAGCATCCCTGGTGAAAGCAGTAGTCAGAATACATTACTGCGTAGGATGTCTCAAAAATATATATGTGCACACTAAAACGCATAAATAGTTCACAATAGTGATGCACGGGATTTTATGTACTAAAAATACACCCACTTCTGAGGCAAAAAGGAGCAGCGTTACCTCCATGTGCTGGCTTCTACATGGCTCACTACTTGCCTGTTGCTAACGATACTGGGGCTGACCCCCGGGTGACAAACGTTCTGTCTCAAAACCATTCAGAAAATACACGGATGTGGTAGTGGGAAAAGGGACCGAACCGTTGGTGTTGCGGGCAGGGCAGAGGGTGGAGACATGCAATGTCTTGAAAAGAAGGAGGAACGTTTAAATGTAATGTGATGGATAATAAGGACTTATAATAAAGTAAAAGATGACGACGAGAGGAGTGGAGAAGTTCTACAATGAAAGAAAAGCAAGCTTCAGGTCTTCTGAACTTTGAATTGAGTTATAGGGGAGATACCCATGAACTTTGGATGTCTCTACCAAAATATATGAAAAATCAGAGGAAGACGCACAAAAGGCATCCAAAACTGATAGCTCATTCTGTTTGGCAGAGGAAAAGAATAGCTTTCATAGTTATAAGGAGGGCAAGGACAAAGACACCAAGAAGAACAGAAGTAAGGCACGATCTATAATTCAAAACCATTCCAAACTGCTCATCTATTACTCTGTATTTGCCATAGTCAGGATGTGGAGTATTAAAATTTGCAAAAAGAATGATATGAGTTTTATAAAACTTTTAAACTTTGGATAAATTAGTTTCCCTTTTTCTCCTACACTGAAATTGGAACAAAGGCTTCCAGGACTTTTAAAATTTATTCAATCCACCTCATCACACAAATCCATATACTTATTATTTCAGGTCCAGGCAGGTAAGCTCCTCTTTAGTCGAGAGCTTTAAAGTAGATGTTCAGCTCAAAAAACCTGCCTCAAATGTAACAACAGGGAAGTAACGCAACTAAACGAGGCACTGACGGCCGAATCGCCCCACATGCCCAAGTGTGGAATGGATTACACATACAAGGCAAAACCACGTTTTTAACAAAGGCGGACGCTGGCGTACAGCGAACGTGGCCACACACGGCACAGGCAGCGAGCGATGAGGTGAAGCCGCTTTTTTCTCTCTACACAACAGTGCCACTCGGTGGATGGACAATGGCGGTGAATGGAGATGCCACGCATGGAAAAACCCATGGGGGTGGCTGGGCAGCCGGAGGGTAACGCTTGCAGGCACAAGAACGACCCGCAGTCGCCGCAGCAGCCGTACCTGGGAGGGCAGGGGGATGCTGCCCGGGGCCCGGCACCGCAGCATCGCTGCCTGCGCCTGCCTCGCCTGGTAAACAAACAGCAGCGTTAGAAGGTTTCCCCAACAAATGTCACCGACGTAAAGAGCTGCAACGTTGGGGTTTTTAGCTGGCAAGACCCTGCTTTGAACACAAAACGACATTGTAAGAGGGCGTTGTAAGAGCAGGCAAAAGGAAATGGGAAGTTTTAATAATCAGTGCATTATATGCCGCATTCAGACACCTGCGAAAAAGCAGTGTTTTTAAGAGACTCATTTGTATCAAAATCTAAATGAAAACAAACAATCAAACCCATTTTGCTTCTGGTACTTCACGCTGACAGTGTCATTCCGCTAGTTTGGGAGCATCACATTTTTACTGTCAATAAAATTCCATAATTGCCTAAGAATATGTATACGTTTTTTTAAAAGGAAAAAAAGCATTTGTTAATCAGTGTTTTATTCCTTTGATTTCTATTCAGTTCTGCTATCAGTAAGGACTACTTCTTTTTCCTTCTGAAAAAGCATACTCATTTTCTAGACACAGTTCATAAATAATTCTAAATATGGAGATCATTTCTTTAGGGCATACTCAGTGACTGTGGAAATTCTGTTTGTGTTACAATAAATATGGCAGAAGTATCAACTCATAAAAACAAACACTAGTCTGGAAACTCTTTAAATAGCTGATCACAGTTTTGGCAGAACTTCATCTTCAAACTGGTCCTCTAAAGTGTCCTTGTGATAAAGCCGCATTTGAATCAAAAGCCTTTTGGGTTTCAGTGTTGAAAGGACCTAGAAGGAAAACTGCATCTGGCACTACCAGGGAAGAAGGGTAAGAGAAATGCTTTTTTTCTGGCAACACACCGCCATTTGGTAATCAAAGAGTATCCATTTTCTGAAACTCAAGAATCCAGTGGAACACAAAGAGCAATAATTCTGCTTTTTTTCCACATTTTTCTATTATATTTTTTATTATCAATATTTTTGTCTTTCAAGGCAATGAACTCAACTAACAATCCAATGAACTCAAGATTTGAATTCAATCTCTGTGCCAATTCCTTCATTGTGTAGGATCAAGTGAATATTTTAATCCCTTTTCTACTAGCAGTCTACCTTGCATAAGTAATCAGTAACGATGCCCGATCTTCTTCTGTGCTGAGGACAGGCTGAATGGGATTAATATATTATTAGGAGGAACTGAATTTCCAATTAGGTGTCTGGATAACTTTGTTCAACTGTGATTTGTAATGCTGAAGACTCATCTGGAATTAGAGGCTTGCAATTATGTTTCTTTTTTTTTTTAATATTAGTCTGCTGGTTTTCTGTTTATGTTATCTAAATTATATGTGTGTTTTCTGGAGGAAGTTCAGCAAGTACCAACCCTTTGGAGTGAGAAATAATCACTATCGATTATGTAAACCAACCATCCCTCATCTAGAGTACAGCACAAGCTACCCCTGGAGGTGGCAGCACGAATGACACCTGTCATTGCTGCTGGTTTGTGAGTGGTAACTGTCGAAACAGAGCTGTTAAAGCTGGGATAGGATTATTTTGCCAGTCCTGCAAGACATTTTGTTACCAAGGACTTCTTCACACTTAATAAAAAAGTGGATAAGGCAATTAATTTAATCTCTTCAAATTTATAACCCTCTATGTATCAATTTAAATTATCAACACTACTTGAGCATTCAAAACCTGAAAGGACTAATACAATACGAGAAAAACGGATAACTCATGACTTCATGCCTATCAGATTTACAGCACTTTGGTCTGTTATACTGTCCAACTGAGCATCTGTGAGCGTTAGATCAGCTGGAAGTGCAAATGTCTATCAATTTAAATCCTAAATCCATGCCTCTGCCTACCTCAGCTAAATGAACAAGCTCCAGGAGGTTGAGGAGAGCTGAAAACAGTGAAGATCAGGAACGTAAGACAATTAGTGACAACTAGTCAGTAACCTGGGAGCCTTGTAGTTACAAACCACACCAAATAGCCAGAACTGAATCCAGAGTTTGAAAAAAGCCAGTGCAGAAAGTAAAAAGGCATGAAAAAAGGTCAGCACAAACAGGAGTGGAATGAGAGCTTCGCAGGGTATGGATATATTCTAAATCCTAGATCTTAGTGTCTGGTATAGAAGTACCTGCAACTTCTTGTAGCTGTGGGGAGTGCCCTCAGGCACTGGAGATGCTGTACACCACTTTCTTGAGGTGGTGATACCATCCTTCTGCAGAGAAGTGGAAAGACTTATTCTCACTTTTAAGGTGAGATGGAGATGGTGCAGAGTTGTTTACAAAGGAGTCTGCATGCTCCAAAAGGGTCTTTTTCCTCTGTCTCTGCCACAGTGTCATTACAAATACGGATATATTTTTTTGCTAAGCTATTTCTACATTTAAACTTACTTCACAGAGACTTCACTGGGCAACCTCTAAGACACTTTATATTTCCTTTGCTATTTGTGTTTCTCTTTAAAAATACAAATTACAGCACTTGCAAATGTAGTTAGCTGCTGTCATTTATAATGTCTATCCAACTACAGGCGATATATTGATAACTGTACAGGTCTGGAACAACAAGCATGGTGATAATATGTAAAACAAAACTCACTGTCATCTCAACTGATTAAAAAGAAGTATATTTACATTTTGTTGCCTTTAAATTACTTCTGCAAGTGTAATCCAAATATGGATAGACAGAATAGGGTGACAGGAAGCTACAGGTACCAAAGCATTGCATTATGTTTTATTTCCTCTTACCATGAAAATTCTTTGTGCCCTACGTCAAAAATTTGCATAATTTCTTGATCACTTCACCAAATCTCCATATTCCTGTCAATACAGAAATATGGGCACAGCCTATATATGACAATGACCAAACATAACTACAATTTTTTATTCTGATTCTTGTACAGAAAGTGTCAGGTGCACTTCTGGATGATGCAGCATGTTAGTTGGCACATACAAGCGTAAACAGGGTCATCCTTGACCCGCTAGATCAAGATTAAGCTACAGTCGATTCCACTTATAGAAGTTGCTTCAAATTGTACACTTTTTTTATATTAAGCAGGGAAAGGAAATAATGACCCGAGGACCTTTTTTCAACCCAAAAGGTAAAAAAAGAATAATGTGATAAGGGATCTATGGAAAACTTTTTTGGAAAAGCAAACAAAAGAGCCCCTCCAAAATTGTAGAAATAATTTCGTTGCACACCTGATTTTACTTCCATTGTTGCGTACAGGATTTGCATCAAGGATTCACTGTGTTTCAGTTTCACGTTTGCATCGTAACACCCTTGCTGGAGCAATTCCTGAGATTATTCTACGATTCTGAATGAAGCTGCATCCCCCCTGGATTTTGCCAAGCAGCTGCAGTGGCCCTTGCAGAAGTGCCTGTATCGCTCTGCTTCAAGAGAGTGGTTGTACCTTTCAATTCTGCTCCCTCAGTGTCTGCTGGGGATGCGATGCATCGTGAAAGAACTAACTTTGGACCCCATGGGTGCCACAGGAAAGAGAAAGAACACCAACTTCAGCTACAAAGTGTTATTTCCCTTCTCTTTCAAATCTGGTGAAAAATATGATGCAATCCTACATAATGGTTCAGGGCAACCAGCACCAGCCCTCCAACTTAAAACCGTTACTTAGGATGAGTTGCTAGAAGCAGCAGATACCATGTCACTCTACATAGTCCTTGCAAAGAACACACTGCCACAGGCTGGCTGAGGATGCAAAGCAGTAACACACCTTGAGCGTGACAGCGTATAGGAAACAACTGCCGAAGGTGAGCTTGGGACTTTGTTGTTTGAATAAACTGCCCTTGAGAAATATAAAAAAAGATTTAAGAAAAAGAAGTAGTATTTACTAAATAGAGAAAGCGCGGAGGGCCGTCACAAATTATTAAAAGCCAAATACATGTCATTGTTCAAATAACTTCTCAAATAAGCTCCACACATTCTAAAGAAATAGTACTTCATTTATTAAGAATCACTCTGTAATTGATCTAACTTCTTTCATTTGTATTTAGCTAACATTGTTATGCATGGGATTTGTGTCCTTAACTTGAGAAAACCTTTAAGAAATTAGTCTTACAGTTAAAAATATGTTGCATTTAAAAGACTGAAAAATTAGTTGGATAATTTTTATGGTAACGTCGTAGTTTGTTGGTATGTGATGTAATTTCTGGTTAAGATTTTTTAAAAGGTTCAAAACTTCCTACAGGACTTGTACATTCTTGAGATAACATATAATTCTTCATTACATTGTAAATATGCTGTTGTACGTCCTGCTTAAAAAAAGTTTGGGTTTTCTGTTTCCTCCAAATATGTACCCACCAAGGGTTTCAAGTCAAGAAAAGGACTTTCTTCAGTCCTTAAGACATATGACAAAGCTTCCCCCTGCCGCGGCACTGCCACACGTTTCACTTTTACCTTTGCCCAGCTGAACTGGCATGCTTTCGGACTTCATCATCCTCTGCTGCTGTGACTGGTGGTGGTGGTGGTGCTGGGGGGCTTCCACTGCGCTCCTGATGGGCATTGCAGGGGGAGGAAAGCTGCTCCCGCCGGCAGGAGCGGCCCCAGCCCCGCCTGAAGCCATAGCTGGAGCAATGAGTTTTCGGCCAAAATTCAGTAAGCTGTTGGAGACTTTGTTAATGTTCAGTGGGGCAGCCTTAGCACTGGCGCTGAAAAACAAGAGGAGAAATCATCAGGTCCTTGCCAACAGTTTGGACAGGCAGAGCAATGCATGCATTGTTCTTCAAAAATGGGGGAAAAAAAATCCAAGATCTGATCGTTACAAAGAGGGTGTTTTACCACGGTCGCACTGGAATATACACAGGAACCACAGGGACTGCATGGGGTGCGAGTTTTTCCCACCAGTAGTGGACAAATTGTTTTGGCCCTTTCTTCCTGAAAAATGCAGAGTAGCCCCAAACAAAGCAAGTTTGCACAAATTTTCTTAATTTGCCTTCTTAAATGAAAAAAATGAAAGAGTGACAACAAGAAATCCAGGCTCTAAAGCATCAAAAACTTAATAAAACTGACTTTTTGCACCTTTTATTCAAAGACTGCTTTAATATTTACTTCTGCTAGATTAAATTATCTTAAATGTTTAAAATAACTCAAACCCAAACATTTATTTCAACAAGTAAAACTAACACTAGACTGTATTTTTAGGTTGGCAGAACTAGCTGTCTCTTGCTTTAACTTCACCTTCTGCCCAGCACAGCCATTTCAAGCCAAGCACTTTTTAAAGGGAATCCTGATTTCAAAAGTGATTTTGGCTGAATGGTTGCAGGATTTAACACATATACTGGATCACGATCTTCATCATTGTTACTTTTTATTTTTAACTACAGTGGCTATTTAATTCACTTCAGTTATATGCAACATTAAGAATGAGGAAATTGTCGAACCATTTAATCTGTCTAAAATAAAGAGGCAAAGAAGCTTCTAATTCCCAGAAGTGTTCTCATAACCCAGGGATCAGCAAAGCCATTCCTATTTATTCATGCAATATTTTCCTGTTTTATATAATTAATGCCTGAAATACCCTTCACAGAAATGTATCACAACCACATAGGCCTTTCCACTCCTGAGGTTTTATTTTACTGACCTGTACTTCTGTGTTATAAATAGCTGTCTTTAAAAAATTTGAATACATGTAATTATAAGCAATACAATCATTGTACTGGGGAAAAATACAGTTTTGCAATGTTTTGGGGAATTTTAACTAAAAATAAATTACAAATGAATTAATACGGGTGACTTGTAACTTGCGCAAGCACCTGGAAAAGGAATTTTGATTTTGCTTTTCATATCATTTCCCTATTTGTCTCCAGATATGTTTTTTTAAGACACAATATAAACGCGTGCATGCATATAGAACATATCCAGAAAATAACAACAGCTGAGTTGTTTAGAATAGATACAGTTAAAATGAGAGAAAGCAGAAGAAAGTATGTGAGCCTGCAGAGTCATGAAATATAGCCCCAAGCTGTATGAGGCCCTTCTGCCATATACTGGTGATGAAGAAAGACAGCACGTAGCATTTTTTAGGAGGAACAGCAGCACAGAGACTGGGACAAAGTGCTGCTTCCCGATTTATGGAAGCTGGAAAGGAATGGTTGCTGAATGAGGATTACAGGGTCTCTCCCCATTTTACTGATCGCTGTTGATATTACAAAAATCTTTCTGTAGCCACCTGAGAGTGGCTGACAAAGTCACTACAAAGAGAGCATCTTCAGAACTATAAAATACTCTTGCAGGAGTCCCAAATGGTTTCAAACGCAAACTGAATAGGTCCTAATGACTTCAAAGAAGAGGACATGCTACAATGTTTACTACTATTGAAATTTACTCTGCTACTACCTATCAGATTCAGTTATTAATCAATTCCCCAAGGTATTGCAGAGACACTTAACGAAAAAATAGGGATTTTTTTCTCTTCCATCACATCAGAATAGTCAGCACAAGGTCTTTTGTTCAATGTCTTCTCCATTCCAGAAAGAAAATGAAGATTACAGCTTTGAAGGTGGAAGCAGAAATGTCAAATGCTGGCTTAGCAGATATTAATCAGTTCTCAACAGTTTGCAATGAATCTAATTACATCACTGATTTCAGGGGTCATACCAATAATAACTTGGTTGAGATTGAGAATGCAAACTTTAGTATATTTGGCATATTTTTTCCCCTCAATCTACTGAAATTAATATATACCAAGATTGGTATATATCACTCAGTCACCTGAAACATCACCTTAGAAAGAAGATAATGGCTTGCACATTGAGTCCTAGGTTTGTGTCGTCTCTAGGTCTAGAGCCTTGGCAATCACTAAAAACCCCCTTAACTTTGCACAAAAAATTGTATTTACTGGAAGTAAAATCTTTTTCTCTGACAGGCTACCCAAGCAACAAAGCAACTGGATGCTTTGTGCTAACTGCATCATTGGAATCATGATGGTCCACAGACACATGAGACAAAGCTTATACAGTGGCTTGTGTATTTGTGTCCACCAGCTTATTTTTTTCTTGTTTCTTTTTTTCAACTATATTTTGCTGAATAAAAAGTACCAGTTTTCCTTCAACACTGTTTAAATTGCTGCTTTGACATATATGTAAACCAGGAGAAGTTAGTTTATTTGCATCTTTAGGATGGTTGGAAAAAGACTTTTTTGAGAAACTTCACTTTACAGGAACAAAAAACACCGAAGGTCTTCTCTAAGCCATTATGTCTGAAATATGATTTTAAAAAACACCTTCAAAAAAAACATGCAATAATGTTTTATAATTATTTAAGAACTAGAAAAGATAGTTATTGCAGTAACTAATAACTATGTGTGATTTGGCTCTGCTATGATCCGACACTGCTAATGATCAGCTCAGAACGCATACAGATATGTGAAAAATAAATAATGATGCTATCTAAATTTCTTGCAAGAGCTGATAAATAATATCAATATTATATTATATATATATAATAATAAAAGTATTCTTAAGTAAAATTTATTGTGCAGTTTCTCTGAATCACAGCTTCAGGAAATGAACAATATAAAGGTGCTAGATCTCTGGAGGAGGTATGTTAAAACTGAGCTAAAGTTCAGGAAAATAAGAACCATGTATTTCTTACCATTTAAATGTCTGACATTAATGCAAAGGATGATTACAGCCATTAAACATGGATCAATGTCTACATTTTAGCCATCTAAATGTACCAGATATGCAGAACAATTACAAGAAAAATGCTGATTGATTATGTTGTAGAGTTATCAGCAGATGCACTGAAAAGTAAGGCATCAGTTTAAAAATATGAGTAACAAGGAGACGTGAATTCCATCTATGAAGCAAACAATTTTGTTTCATCACAATAAGCATCATTGACCTTGACTATGAATGGTGTATTTTTAAACTAGCAGTAAGAAGATGATTCAATCTCTGCAGTTTTCTGCTAAGATGAAAATGTTTTGTTTTAAGCAAGCCTTATTCAAAGGCATTTCTCTCTTCAGTAAGTAGCCATTATGGGAGATAAGAGACAAATATATTAACATGACGAATTAAAAAGTTTTATATGTGATAAAATATGTTAGAGATTTGCCAAGATATTTTAAATATATCATTGAGCCTGTGGAACTAAAGATGAAAAAGACCTGATAGCTGATCTAATCCATCTCTCTGCTCACTGCAGAAACTCTTCCTAATGTTACATCTTCCAGTTCTCTCTTTAGTCCAATCTTAACAGATTTACCACATTTGACCTAGTCTAAATGTTCCTATGTTGAGATAAATTTATCCCAGTTATTCCTCTATCGGAATTATTCTAAATAATTTCTGCTCTCCTTTGGTGTGCATTCTGTATATATGTGTGCAATGAATTTATATTCCTACATAGATTTAATGGACATTTGTTTTCTTAGAATTTAGGTTTCCAACAGGTATCATTCTTTTTTGGGCTTTATGACTTGTTTATTTTTGTCAAAATTCTTAAAATGTTTCTTTTGGAATTTTCAAATAACTTATTTTTCAAGTTTAGACAACTCGAGAGACCACTTATTAAAAGAATAAGTAAGTAAAAACATTAAGAAAATGCAATAGAACGCAGTAATTTTTGACACCCCTCCCCAACTTCAAAGCCTGGTAAAACAAAAAAAAAAGCTGCTTTTGCAGTCACTCTACTCAGCTTTAACTTCTGCTCCTTTCTCCGTTTTTAAGAGCTTTTTAATCCACTCCATTTTAATTTTATCTAGCTTTTAATGTAACTGAGTTAAGCAGAATCTGACAGAGGTGCAAAGGTCTAAAAGGCAGCACGTTCCTATGTCTCAGCAGGCACAGTATATGGCTGGGGCCACGTGTAATCCACGAAACTGCCTGTGACGTATACGCTGAAGCAAGGCATCGCTACTTGTGCTGGCTTGCCCCGCAGCCACCAGCAGCCACCTCCCACCAGCAATCAGCACCCTTGTTGTTGGCCACCCAGCTGGGGCACGGGCACCTCTACACTCGTGACCACCAGGTAAAATGGCCTTGACAAGGAATTTAAGCAGTTTGATAGAAGCCGTTTCTAAAATGAGGGAGGAACGCTGCAAAAAAGTTTAGTACAAATTTATATTAATTTTATATTTATATAAATATTTATATTAATTCAATTTAATTTATACAGCTTCTGGTACATGGATACTCCAGATTGCGATTAGATGCGTTATTGGAAGTAGCTCAGCTACAGAACTCATATTGGCAGCGTTTTACCCCCTGCTTTTAATATATACGTCATTGCGTAGGAATGTCCTTAGCCTTAAAAAAATGCCAGCGAGCTGACTACAATGCTATCTGTAAAACTTGCATTTTTCATGTAGTAATAGGCAAAGTAAAGATTAAAAATAAATGTAATGAGATAAACACATGTGCTTCTAATACTGCTTATGTAATTCCTGTTTGGGATAAAAGCGACTTAATGAAACATTTGTAAGGTCTTACTTAATTTGGTGAATGCATATTCAGAAATAGCTTACCGGGTTTTGTTCATCAAGTCTGCTCCACGTGCTTTGTAATAATCTAAATTTTGCTGGAATTGGTGAGTCACTGGTCTTGGATTTCTCTTAAAAAAAAAAATTAAAAAAAAATTAAAGACTACTTTTTCTGAGAGATTTAAAGCAGAGACGAGAAGAATGCTCATTAATGAAGATTAGGTATTTAAAGAATAACTTATTTTCCCAGGATTTCTTGGTTTATAAAGGCAATAAGGCTAGTTACATAAAAGAGAAGCCTTAAAATAATACCGAGTGTTAAAAGTAAGTCCACACCATGCTCACAGAAATTAATGTTCTTCCACATAGCGATAGGGCTGTTGGCTGTCGTGGTAACATTTCTAACTAAACCAATAATTCCTGGAAAATTTCAGATACCCATCTGATTTCTTCCTTTAGCTCAGGTATAGAATTTTACCACCTCCAAGCTAAAGTGGTATGTTTTTAAAGAAAATCGAAATAGTAAGGAGAAACTATAGCTATCGTTTTGAACTGAACGCATCACTAGCAGTGTGTTAAGCAAAGAATTAAATTTGGGGAGACAACCTGAACAGTGCCACTAGATGGCACACGGAGCCTTTTTTAGCTCCAAATTTCACCCTACTCAAAACAGAGGCCATTAATAAAGAACTGTTCCCCTATACTAAAATGTATATAATTAATATTGAAACCAGAAGCCACTTGCTAGTCTCCAACTCTGCCACAGTGAAACTATGTCACTGAAACACGCTGCCTACAGTAGTTCTAAAATCGTCCTTTTTGGATCTAATAATACACTGAACATTGATTAAGTGTAGACCACAGTATATGCATGAAGTCTCTTGACTGAACAAATGCAGCCTGAAGGACATTACTTGGAGGGGGAAGTAAATATTTACAAGTTAAAAAATTTGCATACAGATGAAACCAAAATGACAGAGAGGTACAGAGAGGCCCTTTTTTTTTATATATATATAAAAATTAGAAGAGAAATGGCTTAAAGTAAGAGAAAACAAAATGGCAAATTTCTGCATAATAATCAGATATAGTGTATAAAAAAGATCTAAATACTTCCCAAGTATTTGCTTTAAAGGTTTATTCATTCATAGGCTGTTGCCTTATATTCCAATCCACAGTCTTAAGTCCTGCTAGTAGTAAATATAGTTTTAATGAACTACGCGATGACCCTTCTGAAATAGTCATTCACAGGTGAGAGTACATTATGTTTTTGACAGAGTTAGTCTTCAGCTGTTTCAGTTTCACATGTTGTATTTTTGCCCTCCAGATTCCATTACAGACTGGAGTATCCATAGTCTTATCCTCTCATTTTCCACTTAACTGCAGATAACCCTTCTTCCTTGGAAACCTTGTTTTTGGAGGAGGATACAGGAGTTGCATTTTAAAGAACAAAATATTGCATGTGCACAAAAGGAGAGAAGATTTAAAGAGGTGGCAGATATCAAAGGCTAGGATGATGTCTGGGGTCAAATTTAAGGCTGTGAATTTCCAGATTGTTTCCTGCAATCAGACTTAATCTTGTATGAAATGTCTCATTTTCTTTCCTTGGAAACACATTAAACATTTTAAAATGTATATCCTGCTTGTACTGTTCATTAAAAAATGAAACAACAACTAAAAGATATTAGACACGCATTAAAAAAATCCTCATCTATCCTACCACCCACATTGTAATGGCGGCTCTACGATTTTCTTCTCCCGTTATAAAAACAATATTTGCATAACTCTACCCATTCACATGGCCTGTAAGTCAGTCCTCATCAACTGACAGCAATAACAATGAATCAGCTTTAGTTACTATTGCTCCAGTTTGGTAATTCAATGCATTTCTATGATAATCAAATCCAAACTGACGTGATGAGGATAACTGATGGTTCTGCGAGTACTACGCGAGTAATCAAACAGTGTAACTTTCTCCCATGATTTAACGAACTTTTTTCTTTATGTGGCTTGACGACCATTTCAACAAGGTGGAAGAGTAAAAGATGGTTATAATAACAGGCACTTCTAAGTCATAAGGCAGCCTTTTGAAAAATTCACGTTACCAGAGACTAGCCAGTTTTGCAGTTTGTTTCCAGTAACTCAGTATATATTTTCAACTTACCAAAACCAATGAAATTTCTTTTCTACTACCCCAAAATTAAAAAAAAAATAAAAAAATTACATATTGCTTCTGAATTAAAAAAAAAAAGGGGGGAAAGATCATGTAGAACTGTACCTTGAAATATACTTATGCAGAAATGACAAGCAATTCAAAACACGAAAGGCTGATCTACTATCTAAGCACTTAAAGCCATTAATAGGAATAATGATCTAACTTGAACATATGAATGAAGCTCAAGCATTACTTTCACAGGGGTCTATTTAAATTCCTATGAGGTTTAAAGGTACCAAGGGAAGAAGCAGTTTAAAGTACTATTATGTGCAACAAAAAAAAAAAGCCCTCAGAAAAAGTGTTGAAAAAACATTAGAAATGCAAGACAGTAAATACCAAAGGTTACCACTATGACTCCTTTTGTAACACTACAGAGATATCCTTTCGGAAAATTTAATTACTTAAAAAACCCAAACCCTGATAGATATGTCAGCAGACAAGTATCTGTGAAGTATTACCACAGAAATTTTAAATACTTCTAAAAACTGAAATCCAGGCAGCAAAAAATATGGTTTTATGAAGATTATTAACTCCATGTCATTGTGAATGACCTTTAAACTTTATATTCTTTTTAACCATTTCACTAAGTTCAATATAAGAAGCTGAAAGGAAAAACTACACAATTACAACGTCTCTTCCTTATGAATTTTAAACTAACTGCCCTCTCTAAGCATCCAATTTGAGCTGTCTCCTACATTATATTCTATGTATTAGGAATGAAGACTAAACAATTTATTACAGCATAATATAGCTCTGTTGTTTAAAATATTTACAGCAACTACATTTTTTTCCTACACAGTGCAATTTAGAATGATCCTTTAATTACTTAAGCAAGTAAAGATTTTCCTTTCCTTTTTCAACTTACGTATTTTGGCTAGCACCTCAGATAAAATGTTTTTTTCTTAAAAGGAAAATGATAAAATGATAGTGAAGTCAACCTTTCAAATCAGGAGTTTGTTGAATCCCCCTAAGAAATTGTGTAAGGGCATTACACAGATGAACACATTGATGTTTTTCCTCTTCCGTGGAAAGAGAGCGCAGGTATCGGAGAGAAAAGCTGCCTGTGAGAATACTAGAAAACCCTCTTCCCCACACCCATTTTGTAGGAGCAGCCTCCTGGTTTTATAATTCTTCTAACCTTAATTTCTAGCTAGAGCGAGTTTAGTTTCAACTGGTAGAAAATGCCCATTTTATACTCTTAGAAGGACATTGTATGAAATTCAGGTACAGAAGCACACATAGAAATTGATGTGATTTTGGACTTTGACTCTTCAAAATGTATTAGCCACAGTCCAAAGGGAAGAGATGCCTTAAAATATTTCAGGTATCTCTGAGGTACTCTGAGCCCTTCCTTGCCCAAAAGATGCCCTCCCCACTCCCGCCACCACCACTGAAGTCCTAGCCCCGTCCTCCGGCTTCTCTTCCCAGTCACCACCAGACTGACTCACTCCAATTCCCACGGCTGGCAGGAGGCTCCTGGGGACTTTCTATTTGGCTTTATTCTCCTCCAGGGACAAGGGGCCAAGTTAAGTTATACCCACGCCTGCTCTCTTCCTAGGCGGGGGGTCCAAATCACATCGAACGCAGCAGAGATTCCCTAAACTTGCATAAAGCACTGCAAAGCAATTCCCACCAGCTAAGGCTCGTGCTCCATATGCTCAAATTCCCCAGTATAACCCTTTTCCTCCCTGGCCCCCGGAGACATCACCCACGGCGTAGAGATGATATAGCAAAGCACGCTTGTGCATGACAGAAGTCACAGGCAGACTGTTCTACCACACAGCAGGAAAACCAGGTTGCTGCTGCAACGTAACACTTCACCATCCGAACACGTATTATTTGTAAAAGTTTACACGCAGGTGCAAGCGGAGGAATGTCTACAACACTTTTTTTCTTCTTTGTCGAGGTATTTCCTTTCCTCCCTCCGTAGTATTACTAGCAGAAAAAAAATCAAATACAATTTTGCACAAAATCTGAAGGTTCAGAATAAGAGACAACAATGAAAAAAGATTTTCAATATGTCCGATGAAAAATGAGACTTATTTTAGCGAACATGCTATTGCCTCAATGCCAAGGGAAAAGCACTCGTCATTAGAGAAATGAATTGCTCAGCTGTTTATAAGCAAAAAGCTCTGGGGGAATTTCTCAAGGCCCAAACCACACAGCATTGCAGGGTTACACAAACATATGTTGCAGGTGTTTTAGGGTAGACAGGTGGGAAAACCTCAGCTACTGAAAAATACTCCACTTAATAGATTGTATTTGAATCTAGATAACCTAAACGCAACAGAGAAAAAACAAACAAAACAGCAGCAGTGAATTATACCTACATGCAGCAATAGGCTTACCAAAATAATCATCTCACTACTGCCAAACGGGATTTTTTAAAATGAGGTTTTTTTCAGTATATTAAACAAATGCTGCCAAACATATATCTTTTTTCTCAACTAATAATATTTTAAGTCTAAATCAAAGAACAGGCTGAACCAAACATATATTAAAAAAAGAGAAGGATAATGATGCAGTGCTGTTCTTTTTATTTAAACAAATTTATTTACTGAGCAACTTTGCTCCTTTTTCCCCCTCATTAACTGACAGGGCGATATTGGATTTTTTCATAATTCTCACAAACCCTAAGACATTTTTGTATTAAAATGCTATTTTTTTTTCTTTTCATTTGTTTCTAAGGAAAACTGGAGGAGCCTATGAGCTATATTCAGAAATGACTGGGAAGTCAGCAAAGGTTTACCTTTTCCTTCTAGATCACCTCTGCTTCCTCAATAAAGATGATACAAACATGGCAAAAATTTGGACTGGGAGCAGAGCTGAAATACAGCAGCTGAGATGTGGATAAGGAATACAGTTTGTTCAGTTCGGCAGCAGTTTTTCTATTAGGCACTAATAATTAATATGAAGTCC